GACACTCCTATTTGATCTATGATAGCTGTGGTCCCTGTTGGGTCTCTTTCTTCGCAGCTTTCGCGCCGGGGACTGGTTTTCATCCATCTCCTCATCTGAACTGATGATGATAGTGTTACGAAGCCTGTTGCGGGGACTATCAGCAGACGCCATGATTGAAGGATGGTTGTGCTCTGGAAATGTGGCTCACTAGGAATGGCTCATGCTCCAAGGAGGTCACTCCAGATGCAAGGCTGTGGGTAAACAGAGAAGAATGATGAAGAGCACCAGTGAGGGAAAATAGGTTCTTTTATGTTCGCTCGGTCGCCTTCGAGTACGCAAAGGCTTCTCGGCGGGTTTCAGTCTCGCGGCGGTGTAGGATAGGAAGTGGAAAACGAATTGAAAGGAAGATGGATCCAAGGCGGGAGGGAGCCCATATATATACCCAGGGCCGGGGAAGCAGTCACGCGAGTTCACGCTGTGCTGTCCCATCTGTTGGGAGTCAATAAGCCTCCCCGAACATGTGCAGGGGAATAGCATTGCAGAGTTTTCACTGGCAGCCAACAGCCTGAGCTGTACAGAATTCCCCACTCACGTGCCCACGCGCGCCTACGAAAGTTTTCCTCGCGATTCCACTCCGCGCTCCACCATAGTGCGGCCTTCAATATTCTTCCATTCCAATCCTTCTTCTGTATGAACCCTCTTCATACAATCTTTTCTTCTGATTCCTTTCCTTTCTCTCCTTAATCAAATTGTAATTTCAGGATAGTGCTAAAGCCATTAATTGTATGCCTGCTACACCCCATGTCTCTTGGATGTTGAATGTGATATTCCTGACATCCTGGATCATATTACGTCCGTGACAAAGAGAGGTATTTCTGATGGCCTAGTGGTTTACTTTCTATGAAAGTTAGTGACTTTTTAAATCCCATTAACCCGAAAAGATCGAGGAACCAGAGACTGGTTCGGTGGAAGAGGTGGCAGTGGTCCAAGTTCTGCCAGTTGCACCGAAAACTCCCATCCTTCTACTCACGATAGCAGGCTATGGAGGGCAATAGAGAGTAATTCATATTGTAGGAGTAAAGAGCAGAGCAAGCAAAATTAAAATTGTTGAATGGAAAACATTGTCTTAGCTAGATTCAGCGCTGTAAAACATATCTACTAATTCAAAATAATTATATTCAAAATAGAACAAATGCTGATCTGCAGGTATTGCTGTGAAGATGAAGCAAAGAAATAATTTCCGAAGTCAAAAAGGGCTACACATTAGTTATTCTTACTCAAATGCAAAAGGGAAACGGAAAGGCAGATTGGGATGTGAGGAATTGTGAATGATCTGTGAGACGAGCGGGGGCTTCCAGGCACACACGAAACTTTCACCTTGATGATTGGCCTGCTTGCACTGGTTGCCAGGCGCAAACCAAGATGGTTGGGAGCTCGGTGGCAGGCAGCCAGTCGCGCCACTGAGTTCACCAGATTGGGCGAGCATCCTGTACTTGGGCGAACGTGTAACGGTTCCGTGTGCAGTTTCCGCATGGAGCAGAAGATCTTTCAGGGTTTTCAGCCTCACGTTGCAGATATCGCAATCCATCGGCTGGAACTTCTTCAGATGCCGCCTCTGAAAATGTTTGGTCAGGTCCCCCGGTTCATGGAATGAATAGACTCGGTCTGCCAGTGAGAGTTTGGTGTTCTGCAAACAGAGAAAGCATATTTTGGGTCGCCGTTCCGTCCGGACCGCTCGAACGGCCGACTCAAGGAGCGTGCTGGATGGTGGCTGGGCCATCACTTCCACCTTGACGGCCATTGGTTTCACGGTGGTCGGCTTGGGGCTGGGGCCACGACCACGTCGACGGCAGAGAGGCCCCTCCTCAGCACCGCAGTATGCACTGACAGTGTGGATGGCGGTGATCCGTCGTTGCAGTTCCGCCTCTGGGGTCTTTGGCGGCAGCGTGAGGACCGCGTCGATCATGATCATCTGTTCGGGCGTCATGTACCCAGACCGCTCCAGTGCACTCCTCACGTCCTCATCGACGACCTTTCCGGAGAGCTGCCGCTCGCTGTCGATCACAGGTTGTTCCTGCCGGTATCGCTCTAGAATCTTACGCTTGAGCTCGACCCTCGCGCGTTGCTTCTCGCTGCGGAGCGGACGAACGGCCTTGTGATATCTCTCATCTCGTCTCTC